GGGAGGGGTTCTGGGTCACCATCCCGCTTATGCCGGTGGGTGCCGGTACCGGGGCTCCACTCCCACCGCCCCCTCCCAACGCCTCCGTTTTGCCGCGCAGCTCTAGAGATGGCTGCGGAGAGCACCGGAGCGGCCCCGACCGCTCTGCCGTCCTGTTTAGAGGGGAAAGGCCCAGGCGAGCGGGCGGCCATCCTTCACCAGCACCTGGGCCGCAGGGAGATGACCGACGTGATCATCGAGACCATCCAGCCGCGGCCAGGTACCGGCTGGGGGGCGGGAGAGGCTCTTTTCTGGGGCTGCGGTTGTCACCCACCCCGCTTGTGCGGCAGTCGCTTGTCACGGTGACAGCTGTGTGTTGGTGTGGGGATGGTGGAGGTGCCGCTGGGTTTGCGGGGCTTGAGTCAGACGTGCGGTTTGGAAGATAAATAGCGAAGCCAAGGATTGTGTGTCAGGGCCTGGATGGGAGAGCTGGTTATGGCTGAAAAGGGTTAATTTACCACGGGCTGTGCTGTGGGTTGGTTGGTGTTTTGCTTGCTGGCATTGCTGGTCCATAGCAATGAGACAATTCAGCTCTACTGGCGTTAAATTTCCTGACAGAGGGGAGGTTTCAGGACAGAAACACTGACTTGTATCAGATGTCTGAGCTGCTGTTGACTGCTGTGGGGCAACCTTGTCCCGTTGCTTTGTGTCGGTACCGGTGCCTGTCGGGATTTCACCAGGCACAACGCAGATCTCTCCTGCCTTGGTCTGCAGCACCGAGCGTTTGGCAGTGCTGGAGTTTGCCCTGGAAGAGCAAAGATGAGAGGGGTCTCGTGCTGCTGCTTTCCGGGGTTGTCACTTGGTTTCCTGGGGCGCTGCTGTGTGTGTGCAGGCTGTGCTCGGGGAACGGCAGCCGCCCCTGATGTGCCGTTAGTAATCTGAAAACTTTCGGTTTGTAAAAGATGAAGCAAAAGCTGCCGTGGAAGGAAGAAAATCTTCAGAGGCTGCGTCTGCCGAGGACAAAAATAAACATGACGATCAAAGTAAAGAGCGGGAGGCTGCTCCAGACTCGCCTTCAAAACAGCTCCCCGACCAGATTTCCTTCTTCAGCGGCAACCCCTCGGTTGAAATCGTTCACGGCATTATGCATCTGTACAAAACAAAGTAAGAACGCTTGACTAATTGCAGCTCTAGTGGGAGCCGTGCTCCTGAATAATGCCACCGCCCGGAAGGGTGAGTCGGTCGCCTCGGGGCTGTGGCTCCTGAGCTGGGACAAACAGGAAGGGCCACTCGCACCAGGAGGCAGACGGCTCCTGGTGTTACTGGTGGGGCTTGGAGCTGGCTGGAGAGGGCTCGTCCCAGAGGCATAAGACAAATGCGTGCTCCTAAAAAATGATGTTTGAAAGCAGCTTCCCAAGGGATCCCACAATTAAATTGTGATCTCTCAGGTCTTGGCAGGAGACCTGAGGAGCTGGGAGGTTTTGTCCCGTACTTTGGGGATGACAATTCCACGCTGTGCCACTTTGTGTGAGAAATTCCATTTCAGCTCTTGCTGAAAGCTATCAGGAGCCACGAAATGGGCATTTGAGATGGTAACAAACATTGCTTGCTTGTTCTAGGAACAGTTCTGAGCACCCGTGGAACAGTTTTGGTAGAAAAACAGATGTCAAATTATTCCTGACAAAACTGTTGTTTGCTGGGGCTGCCCAGTTTAATCCTTTGCTAAAGGGTGACAATTTCATGTGGGTGCGCTGGACGCTTACCACAACCCCTTGCTTCTCTCTCTTAATATTTACAAATGTGCAGAGGAGGGTTGCGAGTGACAGCAAAGCTGTTGTTGGAAGGGCGATGTGTCCAGTTCTTTCTCTCTGAAATGACACCCAGTTGTGTCACCGTTGCCTCCCCAGCAAGATGACCTCTCTCAAAGAGGACGTCAGGCGCAGCGCCATGCTGTGCATCCTCACTGTCCCTGCCACCATGACCAGTCACGACCTGATGAAGTTTGTGGCTTCCTTCTACGAAGTAATCGAGCACATGAAAATCATCCGGGATTCCACTCCGAACCAGTACATGGTGCTGATCAAGTTTAGCTCGCAGGTAAGAGCTGGGAGCGCCTTTGCTGTTGAAGGGGCTGCGCTGTCACTCGCAGCTGCAGTTTCGTGGCCAGCTTTCAGCCGAGATTGCGCTTTACCCTCGTAGAAACAGCCCTGTCCTATTGCCCAGAGCTTTCCCAGGGCTGCTGACAAGGATTAGTCCCACGCCTTGACTGGGAGGCAGATGTCTGCCACATTTTACCTATTCTATGTCTTGTTGGCAGGGTATTTTTAAAAAAATAGTAAGGATTCACAGTTCTCTGCTATCTCAGAGCACATTCAAAAAGAGAGCAGTGCATCACGCTGTGGTGAACAGAAAGGACCCAGCCAGTGCGGCTTTGTTTGCATTTTAGGACAGACTGGCTCTGCTTTTCTGAGGAGCTGGGTGATCCCCCCACCACTGCCAGTAGAGTGTGGAAAGGGTGGCACCCTCAAAACTGAGAGCCTGGGGGATGAATCGATGACCAGAAGACACAGTTTGCTGCTCAAAGGTCTTCAGCTACATAGCTTCAGGCATGGCCCTGCCGGTTCCTGTGTGGAGCCTCTCACTTGTACCTTCTTTTCTCCCAGATGACCTTTTTTGGAGCTGGGGAAGAGGTTTCCCCTAGCTGTGAATGCCACATGAGGTATTTCCCTGCCTGTTGCGCAGACACAGTATTTGTGCGCGCTTTGTGCTATTTGCAGTGGTTGCAGAGGTGCGTTTTGTATATTGCTGCATCAGATTTCATGGGCAGATATCGAGTGCTAAACAGCCTTGTAGCAAATCCTTAAACTTGTACTCAGTTCACCCTGAAATGCCTGTTTCTGAGGAAATTCCCTGAAGCCCAGTTCCCCTGTGACCCCTGATGGCTGTGTCTGCAGGCAGCAAAAGCAGATCTTACCGGCCTTCATGCTTCTGGCTGGAGTGACCAGCAATACAGGAATGTGGCTAATTTGCCTCAATCTGGTGTCATGATTTGCAAGAGAAAGGGTTTGGGGAGATCCCCAAGTGAAAGTGGGTGATTTATTTGTCAGATTTTGGTTTGGTTCTGCTTCTTTGCAAGTGACTCTCGGGCACAGCTCAGAGCACGCCTGAATTGTGGCTGGAGCAGTGGATCCTTTCCCACAGTTAAATTGTTTCTTTTCCTGATGCAGGTACCAATGTCCTGCAATGTGGCCCTCTGAAATTTTTGCAGAGACCTAATTTGCTTTGCAAATGCGCTGAAATTGCTGACAAAGGGCAAAACAGATGCTGAAGGG